CGTATCTCCGGCGATAGGGTGCCGAGCGCCGCGCGGGGCCCGGGGGGGCGTGTGCCGCCGGGGGTGGGGGCGGGTTGTGCGCGGTCCGCACTGACGGCGTCTCGTCCGCAGACGTGTCCGCTGCTGCTGCGCGTCTTCACCACCAACAACGGGCGCCACCACCGCATGGACGAGTTCTCCCGCGGCAACGTGCCCTCCAGCGAGCTCCAGATCTACACGTGGTGAGGGGCGGCGCGGGGCTTGTTTTTAGCAGCACATTTCTACAATAGCAGCGACTCTCCTGGAGGGCCGGGGGGGCTGCATGGCCTGTGGGTGGGTTTAAGTGAGGTAGGGTCTCTTGGCGGGGGCGTGTGGGGGGGGTGTAGGGGGTTGCTTTTCTGTGTGTTTTTGTTTGTTTTCCTTTGATATGGTCAAGAAACAGGGGTCTGATAAGGAGCTGCTTTTTATTACTTTCAAGTTTGGCCTTGCAGAGTAACTGCAGTGTCTATTGCTAAAACATTAGTCTTTGCCTGAAGCGTTTTTAAAAATTCCTTCCAAAGGGAGTTAGGCTGCTTTCTAATCTCGCTTCTCTCTTGAGGTTTCTGCTGGACTGGTAATTCCTGTGTCAGCGTACAGTTGAATGCAGCTATTTTTGTGTCTGACAAAGGATGCTTTTCTACTTCACTTCTAATGCGCTTCTAATTATAATTAATGGGATCTGTGCCCGCCGCCCGGGCCGTGGGTGATGCGTGAAGCACTTGCTGTGTGCGCGAGTGCGAAGGGGCTTCGTGTGCGGGCGGTCTGCGCCGTGGCAGCCCGCGCCGCCTGTGCAGGCTGTGCACATACAGGTATCCGAGCACACACAAAGGTATCCGAGCACACACACGCCTGGGGAGGTGCCTGCTTTTGCTGTTGTGTTTGGTCCCTTTGTGCTTGGAGTTGCGTAAATGAGTTTTGGTCCTGCCCTTTGCGGAAGGGCAGAGTAGGAGTACTACCTCTTAGGGCAGAAATATGAATCTTAATCTAAGTTCATTCATGATTTGTTACTCCTACACTTTCTCTAGCATGGAGAAACAAACAAAAAAAAACTCCACTATTTTAACAAAAATCTTATCTCAGATGGAGAAATTCTTGTGCTGTGTATTGCATAAACATCTGAAAGTAGCCTGTGTTGTTCAAACTAGCTCTTTTGAGAGACCTGAAAAAGCAGATTTTGAAGCATAGTGGGGGGAGGAAGAGATGGCAGTATGTCTGATGTTACAGTAAACCAGAAGCTAAACAGCACCTGAAACAGCTTATTACAAATCTTTGTGCATGTGTTTAGTGCTGCAGCTCTCGCTGCCTCCAGCGCCCGGTAGGTGGTGAGTTCTCCCAGATGTTTCCACTTATAACTAGAACAAGTTCCACCCACCGATCTGTGGATCTGAATATTTTGTTTGAGGTATTACATAGTCGAGAAACAAATTGCTTTCTATATTGATTAAACATGTAAAATTTTAATCATCTTCTGTGCTTGACAGAAAGCATGCACAGGCAGGGAGATAACAACTCAGTTATAACAGTCTGTTGGTGTCAGTGTTAAGTGGGTAATGGAAAAGGGTTCTTTTTATTATTACTTTTGAGAAAATGAGCCACTATTATTTTATTTCTAACCAGGATGGATGCAACTCTAAAAGAGCTGACCAGCTTAGTGAAAGAGGTCTACCCCGAAGCACGGAAGAAGGGCACACACTTCAATTTTGCAATTGTTTTTACAGATCTCAAGAGGCCTGGGTACAGGTAAATGGCTTCTCTTCTCCAGATTATTGTGACTTCAGTCACCAGAGTGGTAAATTATCTTTCATCGATATAGATTTAAAGTCCAGAACACATAAATTAAACTTCTTTATGGCAGATTGGATGGTGATGCCTACAAACTAAACTTGCTTTAGAGACTGTTGCTGTTCCCAAAACAACAAGTTGCTCTGAGCAAAGACATTGGTCCCTAAGCTGGTAGCCACCCAGAACATGAACCTAAAACTTGAAGGCAGGAAGGCAAGTTTTTTCCTGGTGATAGGAAGAGCGATAGGTCTTGTGCCAAGAATATGGATGGCTTCAGTTCATAGTGGTCGTTACAGGTATCCTGAGCACCTTTAGTGGTAAGGGGCAACTTGGCCACTGGGACCCTGGCTGGGCGCTAGAGAGCCTCTCCATGATGCCCATGCTGGAAATGAGTCCCTGGCTTTTCCATCATCTCTCTTTGGCTTCTGGTGCCAAGTCACACATAACCTGTGTAGCTATCTACCAGGAACCAGTGTCTGTATCGTGTCCTATCACCCATAGCAGGGTGTTTTATGTGCTGGGTGCATGTTTATGGGTGGAGGTGTGGGGTGTTTTTCATCTTTTTGGTACTAGAGGGGTTCTGTACCCTTAATAAAGCAGTAGGTTCTGTTCCAGCCTCCCCTCTTACCATCCCATCAGAGTGGGATGGTAAGTGAAGACTTAACTTTTTTAGTCGGTACTGGAAAAAGGGACCGCGCTGTGACCGTGGTTTAGTGCCAGAGAGCACAGAGGATGGAGCGGGACGGCTGCGGTGAGCCGGTGCTGCTCCTGTGCCAGCTGTGCTCCCGCTGAGCACCGTGCGCCTTGTCCGCTCCGCGCAGGGTGAAGGAGATCGGCAGCACCATGTCGGGCCGCAAGGGCACGGACGATTCCATGACGCTGCAGTCGCAGAAGTTCCAGATAGGAGACTACCTGGACATAGCGATTACGCCTCCGAATCGCGCGCCGCCCCCGTCGAGCCGCATGAGACCCTACTAAACCGCTGCTGCTCTGTGTCTTTATTTGCAGTTTACTCCTACTTGCTGTTCTAAAGCAGGCTGGCTTTTTGCTTTTGTTGCTAAGCGGGAACACCTGAAAACAAAGCTGGGCATCAGAAATGAGCATTACCTTTTAAACATTGACTTGTATTGAATTTCTTTAGACGGAAGCCTTTTTAGATTCATCATCATTCTTTTTCCTCATTGTTATAGTTTGAAAAGTAAGTTTGTGTGTCTAGTGTTTCAAGATTTCTGTAAAATACGACCAGAAATATTGCAGGTGTTCTGTAGTTCTGTCTTATTTGGAATAAAGGTTGATGTTATCTTTTGACTTTAGTAGTGCTTTATTGTTTGTTTTGTCTCTTAAGTGGATTTTCACATAGAAATTCTGAAGTCAGCTTTAAAGCAGAAGTTGAAATCTCTACAACTTTTGTGCAGTAGGTTTGGGGCTTGGTGTACAGGGGTAGGTGGTGCAAGGTGGATTCCTTAACCCACTGCTGGCCGGATGTGGGATGAGGAGCCTGTGAAGAGCATGGCTGGAGGCAGGCCAGCCCGTTGTCCTTCATGTTGAGGAAGTGGATGTGTTCAGT